AGAGCAATAAACCCTCGCTGAACCTTTTGCATCCATTGGCTTTTATTGGCACCAGCCGCAGGAGCGAGTGAATTTTTCAGCCCTGAGAGCCATCGTGAGCTGCTTGGTTCGCCTCCCGCCCTTCCCGTTGGTCCTGACCGGCCAAGTCAGATGGCAGCTGATAAATCCCTGCGAGAGGCAAGGAGCCTGCTGTGGAAACGGGGGGCGAGTCAGCAGTGCAGTCCTCTTGCCCAGGAAGCAAGCAGGGGCCCAGCCATCAGGTAGTCACCCACTCCCTTTTTCATCAGTGGAAAAGCTGCCGCGAGATGCCCCGTGTGCCACGCGTGGCTCTTTACATTGCCCGGGGGGTCGCCTCTGGGCTCATAGGCTGGGACTGGAGCCGTGTGGGGGGAGCAGAGCTGCTGTGCCCTGGGTTTGCAGCACAGCCGTGAGTTGTACAAGCACAGCTGGGGATGAGAGGAAGATTGGGAAGTGCTTAGGTTGGTTTCTTTCCAAAACAAAACCTGTTGCGTGGCTGCAATACTCTGCAACTTCTGGTTTGGCTCTGGCACAGATGTTGTGTCTTGGAGCCTATCTTGTAGGTGTTCTGTTTGAGGGAGAAGCACTTCTGCAGCAGAGCCCTTGGGTTGGATTTGGGGCCGCACTCTGCTTTGTTTTCAGCTGAGGCCCCTCTCCTGGAAGGGTCGGGTTGTGCTGTGCAGTGCATGCAGCAGCTGGGAGAGGAGAGAGCTGGAGATCAGAAGTGTCCATAGACCCACAGTGAGAGTTCTGAAATCCCTTCTCTGGAAGCTCCTCTGTATTTTATAAAACATTTCACTGTTTGCTGGGGCAGGGAGGCAGGCTGGAAGAGTGATGTCTCCTTACCTGCTAGGACATTAGAAGGGATGTGGGAGAACCTGATTTCATTTAATCTCCCACTATGGTGGCTTCTGTGAAGGGACTAAATCGTTCTCACACGAGGTAAATGATTAGGAGGTAACTGGATGTTTGGGCTAATTGAAACTGAACTGGAGTTTCCCATCCAGACTGGGCAGAATGACTACTTGAAAATAAAGTGCTTTTAAAAAAGCATTAAAGTGCTTTCCAGCCGCATTTGCTTAGGGACCTAATTACTTTTCTTGATGGCTTGAATAAATTTGGTGGCACTGGCTGTGCAGCAGGCCCCTTTCATTGATGGGAACATCCCACAAGTGTCCCAGCCACGGGTCTGAACCGATCTTGAGCTGAGCCGTGCCTGGAAGCCATGACCCCCAGCCCTAGCTGGGACAGTGATGGATCTCACTGCCAGCGGGGCTGGGAAAGAACAAACCTCTTGCTGTACCCAAATCCAGAGCCAAAGTGCCGAAGAGTAGGGGTGGGTTTGGGGTACACACTGCTCTTCAGTTCTGGTGGTGGGAGCTATGAGGTGCCCAAGTCCTAAGGCTTGACACGTGAGCTCTGCAGGTTCTTGTGCCTCATGCTGGAGAGCAGGCCCTGACTTCTCACTGAAGGAGTGCTGTTCTTAGGCCACTGTTGCAGCACTTTGAATTTTTCCCACCTACCTTACCCAAACTGGGGTCTGTGGGGCTGTGTCTTAATCCCTGTCAGTTTAATCACCCATTCCCTTGGGCTGGGGGGTGGGGTGTGAGAAGCCTGTCCTGATTCTCTTGTCCAGATGAGGGCCTGTGCAGTCTGAAGGCCAAGTGCTTTAGTCCTGCCTTCTATGATCAAATGGTGAGCCAGATGATCATCACTGAGCTTACTGCTACCAAGCACAGGGTGGAGCAGCAGCATTACCCTTCCCAAAATCCAGTGGACCCGTGGGGGCAGTGAGCTCTGAGCCTTCTGCAAGGGGCAAAGTTCCATCCTCTCTTGGAGTGGCTTTGGGATGACAGCTCATAGGCAGAAGTCAGCCAAACAACACGTATCTCTGGCAGATGTTTTGGGCACCCCTCTGACTAGAAAGGCCACGTTTTAATGTGTAGGATGTTTGGCCAGGTCTTAAGAAGAAACTGGCCTCATTTATTTATAGAAAATGTCTAGAACTGCACCTTTCTATACAAAGCACTTGTCAAAAGTCCTGGTGTCACAGCTGCAGTGGGTCACAACGCTGGCATCTGCCTAAGACCTGCAGGCCACCTTCCCCCACCCTGCAGCCCCAGAGAGCAGCGTGGGGCAGCTGAGGGGGTGCTGCCTCCTCTGCTTACGCCTCTCAGTCGTCGCCTTCCCTGAGTGGTGAGATGCAGCTTCAGAGCTTGAGGTGCTGTGCAATCCAGCCCTGCACAGCTGTGACTTTGGTGTAGACACCAGGGAAATATGGCCTGGCACAGCCATAGCCCCAGCTTGTGATTCCTGCTAGAAACCACTTCCCTGAGGGTTCTTGACATGCCAGGGGCCCACCTGCATCGCCCTGTAGAGAGAGGAACAGGGGGTTATGTCAGCAGTGTGCCCAGGTGGCCACCAGCATCCTGGCCTGGATCACAAACGGTGTGTTAGGCAGAAGGGAAGGGATGGTGCCCCTGGACTCAGCACTGGGGAGGCCACAGGTTGAATGCTGGGTTCAGTTTTGGGTGCCATGGGCTAAGAGGGCGATTGAGAGGCTGGAGGGGGTCCAGAGAAGGGCAGTGGGGCTGGTGAGGGGTCTGGGGAACATGGCTGGTGAGGGGCAGCTGAGGGACCTGGGGGTGTTTAGTCTGGAGGAGGCTGAGGGGAGAACTTACTGCTCTCTACAGCTCCCTGACAGGAGGCTGGGGTGAGGGGGGGGTTGAGCAGTGGCAGGACATCTGAGCCAGGGCAGGCTGGCAGGGAGGACACAGCTCCAGGGCTTGGCCCAGGCCTGCAGCATCTGCTGCTCTTGAACTCACCGAACAGCTGTCGACTGTGCCCTGGGGGAAGCCAGCACACATCATCCTGCTGCTGATCTGCACGGGGTAGAACTTTTTGCAGGCCTGGTCTCCGATCATGTTCACTGCTGCTTTCTGCAGCTGCTTCGACATCAGACCTGAGGAGAGAAGTGTCAGCTCTGGCTTGGTGCAGGGCGTGTGAGTCGTGTCCCTGCGGCCTGGCCAGCCCAGGGGAGTGACCTGCCCTGGGAAAGGGAGTCAGGCCAGGTTCCTCCCCAGCAGAGCAAGCACAGGAAGGTCCCTCTGGTGTGTAGTTTGTCAGGCAGCTTGGCTGGCAAGGCAGAAATGGTATCGGGGTGGTCCTTGTAGTGCAGCTGGAGCAGCAGCTGCAGGGATGGGGAGCACAGTGACTGGCGGGTAGAAAGCTTGGGGAGGCTGCAAGAGGGCAGAGGTCTAACCACGTGGAGGAGTACAGTGTGTGAGGGATGGGGAGGAGGTGGTGGTGACACCGGGCCTTGCCCAGGCTGGCATTCTCTGCAGGGTCCAGACTGGCACGGAGTGTGCTCGGGGCAGTGGGGTGGGAATTGTGGGGCTCCCAGGGTAGGTGGCACTTGGCTTGGCCATCAGGGATGTGAGGGAGCCCCTCGGTCAGTACCTCCTTCCTTCGTGGAGCCCCAGCCTGTGATGAAGCATCTGGCTCCTTCAGGGAAGATGTGGGAATTGTCTGGGAGACATATGGGTGTGATGGTGCTGCTGAACTGGACGGGCAGGGCCAGCTCCAGCAGGGCCACGTCGTAGTCCAGGCTGTAGATGTTGTAGAAGGGGTGCTTGTAGATGCGGAATATCTTCTCCATTTTGCCATCGATGCCGTTCAGGAAGGGTGTTCCTAGAAAGGCCACCCACATTTTGGGGTCACTGTAACTGCAGAAAGACAGCAAACCCAGCTGTTAGGGGCATGGCCTCACGAGGGGAGTTTTTCCTCCATTTGTGGGTCTGGGGTGCACTATGGGCCACACCCTGGGCGGCCAGGAGCCCGTCTGCATCTCACTGCGGACACGGCCAGGCTTTCCCCACCCCTCCTCCCTGCTGCAGGAGGGGCTGTGTGCTCCCAGTGGGGCACAGCGTCCCACCAAGCTGGACCACGAGGGAGGGGAAGGGCAGGTGGAGTGGGGCCCCCCAGCCCATCTCAGACTTACATGTCGAAGCAGTGGGCGGCGGAGAGCAGCCAGCGCTCGGCGATGAGCACGGCCCCACACTTGTGCTCCTTGCGCCGCAGCCAGAGGCTGACCTGCCAGGGCCACTCCCCCCGGGCTGCCGTGCTGCCCCCCACGATCCTGCTGGTGCCCAGGGCACTGATCACGCCACAGTCTGCAACAGAGGAAGAGGCACCGTGGCTTCAGGTCGTGAAAGGAACATCTGCTCCCCTTCCACAGCCCCTCGAGGGCAGGAGGAGGGGATAAATTCCATTTGCCTGTCTGAGGCACGGCTTGGCAGACACAGTTTGGTTTGGTAACTTCATCACACCTGCCAGGGGTGTGGTACATGAGGAGGGGACGTTTGGATGGACTGGCTGAGCTGTCACACAGCAGGGAATGTCCAGGGAACAGCCCCAGGAATGACAAGACATCTGGACTCCCAGGTTGTACAGAGCTGTCTTGCCAGCTTGCAGGAGCAGGCTGACTGGCCAGAAGGGCACTGTGCTGGGACAAGGGTTCCAGTGTGTACAGCACAGCAGAGGTCTCATTTTCTGGCAGAAAACTTGGACCCTGCGCATCTTGTCATAGGCTGTGACAGACCAAGTGGGACCGGGACCACGAGGGGCTGGCCCAGGCCTCCAGTGTGCAGCATGGGGCCCTGAGGAGCCGTGTGGGGCTGGTGGTGGCCCTGGGGCCTGGGCAGTGTGGCCGTCGCTGGGTGCCCGGGGGAGCCGTGTGGGGCTGGTGGTGGCCGGGGGGCCTGGGCAGCGTGGCCGTGGCTGGCACTGCCCACAGACTCACTGCAGCCGCGCTCGTCGGAGCCGTCCCCGCAGTCCAGGACACCGTCACACTCGGGGTTTTCTTTCCCAATGCAGACCTGGCTGGAGCACTTGAAGGTGAGGCTGGTACAAGGCACCACTGGAAGGCAATAACCCAAGCTCAGTACCCTCTGTGCTGGGGCTGGAGGGCTACCAGCACGGCAGTGGATCTGTGGCCTGTTGTACCTGGGGCGTGCGTGGGCCTCGCAGGCTCGGTGGCTTGCAGGGCTGTGGAGGTTTCTCCCGTGGCTGTGCTGGTGTTCAGCCCCAGGGTGATCCTGTCGCCCAGACTTGCCCCTGCCGTGCTGGGCTGCTGGCTGGGGATGGCTGCAGGGGAGGTTCTAGCCATGGCTGGTGGGGGGCCTGTGCTGGGACTGGGCTGCTGCGAGATGGTGTCCAGGATCCAGTCTCTGAGTTTGGTAATCCTGGAGTACACACCCGGTTTCATAGCCTGGGCACAGCCAATGCCCCAGCTCACAATGCCAGCCAGGTAAAACACTCCTGGGGTCACCTCACAGGCCAAGGGTCCACCTGAATCCCCCTGGGGAAGAAGCAAAGCAGCAGCTGTCAGCCCAGTCTCCCCAGGACAGGTCTGTGTGCTGGGAGGACTTGGCTGGCCCCAGCCTCTTCCTTCTCCAGCCCCACGGGGCTGTCGGTGCCACGCCGTGTGTGTGCAAGTGAGGAGTGTGCAGAGGTTACAACCAGGGTCAGTGGCTCGACCTGGCTGCACAGACACGAGTGGCATTTTCATGAAGTTAATAGCTCCTTACAGCACCTTCCACAAGTGAAGGACAGCCACCACCAGCTCCTGCTGTCTCACTGCCACAGAAGGAGACCTCTGCAGCCAGGACTCCAGTCTGGCCAGACAGAGCAGTGGTTTGGCTGTTGGTTTAAGTCATGCTCAACTTGATGTAGCTTCATTTACTTTTCTAAAGCTCCAAGGCAGTGGGCTGGGTGTTTTTGAGCTGATGTACATGTGGATTGCAGCCTGGCCACAGCAGCTCCACAGATGCCTCCCTTCCCAAGGATAGGCTGAGGCTGTAGGTTAGCCCAGCTTTCTGGAGCAGTCCACACAGGAGCAGAGGAATCCCAGACTCTTACCTGGCACGAGTCCACCTTCCCTTCCAGGAAGCCAGCGCAGATCATTCGGTCAGTGAGGGAGAAGTTGTAGAGGAAGTTGCAGGTCTCCTGGTCTATGATGCCCACAGAGGCTCTCTGCAGGATCTCGGGCTTGGTGACTGCGTGAAAACCACGGGGTTTGTGAGAGCAGCAGAGGGAAGTGGGAACTAGTGACTGTCAGACCCATATTTCAGAAGCAGGCTCTGACCCCTCACAGCAGTCCAGTCCTGTGGGACTCACTGCCTGTGTTTGCAGCCCAGAAGCTCCTGGCTCACCCCAGGGGCACTTTCACACCTTGCACAGGCAGCAAGCTCTTTTTGTCCCGACAGCTTGTGGGCTCCTGCTCAACTGTTAGAGGCACAGCAGGGCTTCTCTGGTAGCACACGTGCCACCCTCAAGCCTTCTCCCTACAACAGGCCCTTGGCTTTTTCTAATTGCTTGGAACATCTTTGTGGTTGCTGAGGCTGACACTGCCCTGCCCAAGCCACAGCAGGGCACTGAGGTAGTGCCCCACTCTTCCTTAACATAGGAGAACTACTGGGAGGAGCCCTAGCTGGTTTCTCCTGATTCCTGCCAAGCTGCTCTTTCCATTTTCTTGTTTGCTGGTGGCTCCTAAATAACTTTGGTTTAAGTTGGTGCCCTGTGTGTCCTTATCTTTGTGTTTCTGTCAGTTCCTGACCATCCCTGTTGCTGTTCCCTGTCCTGGATGCTCCCAGGACCATCTGGGCCACAATGGGACAGGCTTTGCTGCTGTCTGTCACTGCCCTGCAGCAGATAAGGTGGTAATGCAGCACTCCTTACCATTCCCTTCCTGCAGGTTACCCCACCCCGAAATGAGGCATTTCTTGCCAACAGGAAACTTCTGCCCGGAGAGTGGGAGACAGATGGGCTGGATGTACTTGTTGAAGACAAGAGGTCTGGCCAGCTCAAGCACAGCCACATCAAAGTCCAGAACAAGAGGGTTGAAGAGGGGATGCTGGATCACTCTGGTTACATTGACTTTCAGCACATTCCCATCGGTTCCATTGAGTGAGGTTGTTCCCACATAGGCTTCAATCTCTTCTGCATTTGTCCTGCAAACACAAAACTCTGAACGTGCACACTCACAGACGTGCCCACCACGAATCCTGACGTTGAAACTTTAAATGATCAGTGTTTAAAACCTTCCTTTACCAGAGCAGAGCCCAGCACAAAGAAGAGCAGCCCTGCAGAGTCAGGCCCCAAGAACTGCTTCTAGCAGGGACACACGTTGGGTGTCTCCTGAAGAGCAGGTAAACATGTAGTAATCTTCTCCTCCTCCAGAAACCTGTGATTTCAGGAGTGTTCTGGCACACAGATGGTATCTCTGCCCTCAGTAGGTCTTAATGGATTTTTTGTGTTTCATTTGGATTTTTTTTATAGAGTTGTATCTTAATACTTTTTTTTTTTACCCCATCTGAATTTTTAAACAGTCAATTTAATGACACTTATGAAGAATTGCTTCCTTTTGCTTGTTTTTCACCTGCTCTTGGTGGGTATTTGGTATCTTAGAAAACCAGGAAGAAGTCATTCCCTAACCACTTTGGACCCTTCGTAGCTGGGTAGTCCTGTCACACTTTCCCTTCCCACCCAGCTGTCTTTTTACCCAGGTCTAGTCTGATCTGTTTTGTCATGTTAGTCATCAGTGCTGCTCCACACCCAGCTCACCCATGTCCTGTGCTGACCTTTTTACAGTGTAATTCTAGCACTGTGTGCCCTGTTGGAGGAGCTGGTGTGCTCTTGCTCTGAGTGGGAAAAGCTGATGGGGACCCATCATCATCCACAGGACAGAGCTGCTTTTCTGCTGTGCCTCACCTCACACTCCCCTACCTTGCATTTCATTTTCTGCTTTATTGTTTTGAGACTCTTCATAGATACTCCCCCACCTTTCCTGCCTTCAGGAATTCTTATTCTTGACAGATGTCATCCTCTTGCTACTCATTTCTTTAGGAAATTTATAGATGTGGGCTTGAGCTCTTGCTGTTTAACAGAACTGTGCAGGATTGAACTGAGCATCTTCCCTGCCCACGTGTCTGTTATTTCCAGATTACAGCCACTTTTTGAGGTTAAGTTTCCTGAAGAAACTCTTGTGGTGCCTGTCCTTTTCCACCCATGCTGTCCTTGCTCCCTGCCCAGGCTACTTACAACCCTTCCCTGCCTCATCCCACACAACTCCATGTCCCATGTGTGTTTGTGTTTTCCCCAGTGACTCCAGTGCCTGGGGTTTGGCCCAGCCAGGACAGGCTCTTACTCATTGAAGCAGTGAGCTGCCGACAGCAGCCAGCGGTCCCCGATGATGGTGGCTCCACAGAAATGCTCCGAGTCCTCTTTCAGGCTGACTTGCCAAGGGATCTCTTCTCTGGAGGCATCTGTTCCTCCCACGATCTTGCTGGGTTTAGAGAACCCAGGTCGTCTTCCACACTCTGAAGAAAAGCCAAAGCATCACCTGTGAGTACTCCTAGCAAAAGACAAGTGAGAGGAGACTTCGCTCTCTCTAGCCAGCAAGTCTGAGCAGGGACAGGTCAGGGCAGAGGTGTGCAGCATCTGCCCAAGCCCTGCCTGCTGATCACAGCAGTCCCTACCCCAGCAGTGGTAGCCATGCACAGCCATACGTGGGCTTCCACCCAGCTGCTGTTCTGCATCCTGCTCTCAGCAGGTCCTTAATCCTGTGCCTTTCCCTCAAGCAGAGTGACCAGCAGCTCTGTGCCTCTCAGCCTTGCCATTCCAGATAGAAACTTATTCCTGAACTGAGAAAAATGCCCTGGATCTGTTTGTCCCTGCAGAGCTGCTCAGAGGGCTCCTTGGAGCTGACAGGTCATCCTATAGGCACCTGCCATCCTTCCCTTCAGGGAGAAGAGGCACGGCTGCTGTGGAGTGGAGCCACCAACTCTGAGCTGCTGGGATCCTCAGGTGGCAAACAAAAGTGAGTCCTCAACAGGTTAGAGAGTGTCAAATGCTGCTGTGCCTCAGCACCCTGTCCTGTCCTGGGCCTGCTGGAGCAGCCCAGCTACACACAGCAGATGAAGTTACGTGTTCAGCTGCATAAGCCAAGGAGCCCATGGGACTCACAGCTCAGGCACTGAGTGGCTCTGCCAGGCTGCTCTGGGCTGAGACAGGGCAGGCACCTGGTGGCACTTGTGCCTTGGCCCTTAGCACCTAGGCAAGGGTTGTCACCCTCCTGAGGGTCATTTCAGCTCAGTGGAATAACAAACCTGACATTTGGGCCTGCACCTACTCTTCCTGCCAAGGTGGACCCACGCTGTAGGTGCTCCTACCTTGTGGACTGGATGCAGTCACTGGCCTGCTGGCAGCTGGGGCTGGTGGCGTGGTGGGGATGGCTCCACTGCTGGTGGTGTTGAGCTCTTCAGAGCTGACCACGTTGCTGTTAGTACTGGCGTCCAACAGAGGGACAGGATGGTCCATGGAGGTGGGGAAGGCAGAAATAGCATCCAAGATCCAGTCTCTGAGTTTGGTAACACGTGTGTAAACCCCAGGCCTCCTGGCTTCAGCACATCCAATTCCCCAGCTCACGATTCCCGCCAGGAAAAACTTCCCAGATGGTTCTTGGCAAACCAGGGGCCCACCAGAGTCACCCTGCAAGAGAAGCCAGAAGGTGAACTCTCCCTGGAGACGCTTCAAGCTCACCCTGACCACCCTTTAAAGAGCAGTGCCCTGCTCCAGGCACTAGGGAGCATCGCCTCAGTTTGGTCCTGGGCAGTCTTTGGTCTGTGCTCAAGTCCAGGGCATGGCCTCAGACCTTTGGGAGGGGCCGTGACCACGTGTCCTGCTGCCTGAAGTGCACCCTGCTGCACACTGTGAGGGAAAAGCCCCACGAGGGGAGGGGGGCTGGCTTCCCTGGGCAAAGCCTACCTGGCAGGAGTCGATCTTCCCCTCCAGGTAGCCGGCGCAGAGCATCCTGTCGGTGAGGGCGTGGCTGTAGAGGCTGGAGCACAGCGCCTGGTCCAGCAGCTCCACTGTGGCTTTCTGCAGGAACTCGGGTTTCACCACTGAACGAGAAGGATGCAGCTGTGAGCTCACCCCAGGGAGCCTCCCACGGGACCCGCTGCCCACGCTACAGCCCACCCCAGCTGGCCCAGGACCCTTCCCTGGTGCCTCACGCCCCGCTCGCACCCCATCGTGCCCCCTCTGCCGCCTGCCAGCCTTGGCTTACAGAAATCCTCCTTGAGGTAGCCCCAGCCAGAGATGAGACACTTCTTGCTGGTGGGGAAGTGGTGCCCAGCGTCTGGCAGGCACACGGGCTGGATGTACTTGGTGAAGCTCACGGGTCTCTTCAGCTCCAGCACAGCCACGTCGTAGTCGGCGGTGTCGGCGTTGTAGGAGGGGTGTGGGATGATGCGGGCGATGCCCGTTCTCACCGCGCCGCTGTCCCAGCC